CCCTAGAGCAGTCGTCTCAGACAGTAGTCGCGAACCTCTTCTTATACTCAAATCTCGGCGCAAAGGAATGCAAATCGAGGTCCGAATGAGCATCCTCTATCTGGTCCCTACAGTTTAGGAACCCATCCACAAAGGCAGAGACGTACTCTTTCAACAACTCAAACACCCGACCCCGCAAAGATAACAGCTCGGAATCCTTGGCCTTTAGGTCTGCAGCCTTAGCTTTGATTTCATCATCCTTGGCCGCGAGGTCTGCATCTTTAGCCTTGAGCTTAGCCTCCAAACCCCCGATCTACGATTCTTTGAGCGCAATATGGTCCTAATGGCAGGAGTCCAGCTTATCGTTGATCATCTTCAATTCTGAGACCTCAGAAACCAAAACTTGCAGCTTCCCCTCGGCAGCGTCCTTGCTGACCATCATAACATCAAGAGCATCCTTGGCCTTTTAAAGATCCCGCTCATGATCGATATCCAACATCTTCACACAGGCGAGCGACTACGAAATAAAAAGGGGATCGGACAATGTGGGAGATAGGAAAAGAACTCAAGAGCAACTAAATGGAAAAACGGAACAAGAGGGTACCTCAGCCAGGCCTTGGAGGCAATGTTATCAGAACCGGACCGGCAAGAGGACCGGGTCAATGGTTCACTGGTTCAACCGTTGGGTCAACTGGTCGGACCGGTCATATAATAAAAAAATAAATAAATATATATATATATATATAATAATTATAAAACTTAATAATTTAGCTCAAAAATATAAAATATGTATAAAATACATAAAATTTGTCATAAAATTAATGAAATTAAGTAACAAAGTGGGGGTTATTGTATTTTAAAGCAAAGTAAAGAGGTTCAAGTAAATTATAAAAAAAAAAAAAAAGGGTGTCATTTATAATTTTTTCAAGAATAAGGTTAAAAAAAATCAACTATTTACTGATTTAGGGCAAAAAAATTTATTTATGTAATTTAATTTTTAAAAATCGATTTTTGTTAAAAATCGGCCGATTTTTCGGTTTTTGTTAAAAATCGGCTAATTTTCTGGTTTTTATCCGGTTCTCTTCCTTAAACGGTTCAACTAAGGAACTGGACCGGTTAGGGTCCCGGTTCACGATTGAACAGGTCTGATCGATTGGTCTGGTCCGGTTCTGATAACAGTGCTTGGTGGGCATGTTGGATATTCTTTTTAAAGGGAACCTCCATTGCTAACTGAGGATTTGAAATAGAGATTAGCTCTAACAGAGCAGCAACTGCAGCCTCGGGATCGCGAAGAAGTCGCCCCCACGCACCTTAGACTTAGAAGGGGCGAACTCACCTTTTTTACCCTTCGGAGGAACCGTCTCAAGTGAGACAGAATGAGGGGCCAAAAATCTGAGCTTGTCCGCTGAAGTCCCCTCCGAACCGATGTCAACCTTGAAAAGTATAGGAAAAGGCGGGGGCACAACAACATCCCCTCGGGGAGGACGACTCCACTTTTCTGTCCCAAAGGAATGGGTATGGGCCTAGTGGTAGATGCCTCCTTGGGTGGCAGCTAGTCTCCCTTTGCCAATTTCTTTCTCTTTCTTGACTGCTTGGTATCCGAGAACACTGTCATGATTAGATCTTAATCCATGTTGCCCGACGGGAAGACAGAAGGTGGAGCAGCCCCTGAAACTTGGATAATGGGCGGTCCAAGCCCGTGTTTAGCGAGGTTCTCGTCGGTCACCAAGTCGAAGAAGTCCCTCAATCCCAAGGCCTCAATTCTAGCAATTCGGACTGTCTCCTCCGTGTCGAGTACTGGGCAGAATTCTACAAACCAGATCAAAAGTTAGAAACACAAAAAAAAAAGAGGAGAAAATAAGATAACAAAGGGGAATACGACCAATAGATTAGCCTTATGAGTGTTCCTTGGGACCCCCCCAAGATCTTGGAACATGAGGAACGTCACTAGGTTCCCCTGACAACTCCTAGGAATCGCACTTGGCAAAAAAGAACCTCAGTTTTCATCCTTTATTGGAAGACGGAAGCTCGGAGATCAAAGTCTTCGCCTTTAGTCGTTTAGCAAAATACAAGAAACCTGAGGAGGAAGAGGACTTCAACTGGAAAAGGAAAGCAAATTCTCGTATAGAGGGAAGGGGAAGATTCCTGCTCTCAAACCAATGGACGAGGAAACCAACCAGGAGGCCCCAACTGTTGGGAAACATATGGGCTGGGCAGACATTGTAGAATCCAAGAACATTCCGGATAAAAAGATGGACATGAAATCGAAGACCAGCCCGGAATGCAGACTCGAAGAAGAAAGTAAGTCCAGGGAGGATAGAATTGCATTTTTCGTGCTTTCCGGGGGAATGTAATTCCACGAAATTAGGAAAATGATACTCACGCCTCAACTCCCCCAAATCCTCATCATCAAGACAACTAGGGGTTCCCTCCGCACAACAAGTCAGGTCAGACGGTTCGCGACGAGTTCATTTTTTAGAAACGAGGGGCGGAGTCGGCTCAGATTTCCTCTTCTTTGTTCGAGCCGGAGAACTAGGAGACAGGGCGAAAAGAGGTGTAACTTTGGCTGGAGGCACCGAGGATGTAACTCCAGCAGTAAACTCAGGGGCTCTGCCACTGACGGAAAGAGAACGCCCACTAGAGGAAGCAGTAGTGGTCTCCCCGACCTCCCCACTGACAGATTCCGACTCAAAAGAAGAGGAAATGACAAATTTCTCCATCAAAATGTCAGACTTCACAACAGAATGAAGGGAAGGGAAAGGAAATACAAGGCATAATCTGCCAAAAATAAAGGTTTCAAACACCAGGCCCTAAGTAAGGATACCCTCGCCACTAAAGAATGACTTACGAATTGTGAAAGTAAAGAAAGGTCATTGGAATGCTCTCTGAAATAACTAAACCTCCAGATCAGGAAGTGAAACCGAAAACCCCACCAGGAAGGGTTGAATGGATCCAGGTCAAAATAGCAAGGAGAGAGGAAAAATGACGTACCTAGTGAAACACTAGAGGAAAAGGAAAACTAGGGACAAGGATGTTGTAAGTCGCCCAAGATTCTGGATCAAATCACTTTGAATGCACAGAAAAGGAAAGGAGCACGAAGGAAAGAGGGACTTGGAACCACAGAGCAAAAAGCCGAAAAACCTTCCCCCCCCCCTTTTTTTTACAAGAAACGTATATGTATGCGTGAAACATTAAATTCGAGACAACCAAGTGACAGGACACACCACAAAAGTCGTATCCACGAGCTTACCTGATGGTGACATGTGTGCATTGTCATCCCATCATCGCTGGCAAACCAAGGCATGACCCAATCAAGATCAGAACCAATAGCCAGGCACAATCATTACTTTGAAAACCCATAACAAGCCCAAAAAATTCATTTTTAACCCCAGGCCAGAAGTGATAACGCCTTCATGACCCGAGGCTGGGGGACAACTAATATGGACGAAACTTAAGGCCAGGGTTTTGATAGCCCAGAGGCCTGCCGCGCCCAAAAGGCCCGGATCAGAGAAGGAGAACCTAGCATCGACAAAAATCCTATAACCCAGCCGTCTAGGCCCAGTCCAAACATAGAGCGGTGTGGAGAAGGAAAGCCTAGTCCAAGCTATTTCTAGGTCACCAGAAGGGACCACAAATCCTGGGATCCAGGGGGACCACTCCTGACACCTACGAAAATCTCAGAGAAGGTGGAGCACCAGGCCACCAGAGATCATAGCAACGGCAACGCCGGATGAACAGGGACACCGGATGAACATCAATCGTGGTGACAGGAGAAGCAGGAAGGGGGCAGAAGAAAGGACAACTGGAGGCCCTAAGAGGGGCTGGTATAAATAGATAATGATAACCTAGGCAAAAGTAGAACTCCATCTCCCCCAAGAAAGATCAGAAGAACATCTGAAAACCAAATAGTGTAAAAAACTGAGAGAGAATACCTAGATATTCACCCTTTGTAAGTGGACTCCGAGTTCTAAATTACTGGAGGCACTTTGCCGGGCGATGAATATATAAATCCAGTGAGCAAGAGACTTTGTTGATAGTGGACGTAACCTTAGTCCTTCGGCTAAGTTGAACCACTTATATTTTCAGTCTAATTGATCATAAAATATTAATCCGCAATGTGCAAAACTATTCCCAACACCATCCCATCACAATCGGGCTTGGGTCACAAAATCTGAGTACCATCAGTTTTCATTGAGACAGAAATAAAAACAAATCATTGAGTAAATATCAATTTTTTTATGTTTTGAGGTGTTTCAATGTATTTCAATCCATGCTTCAAAAACAAATATTCAAATTTTTTCCTTTGTTTTCTTTATATTTTTGAAATGTATTTTTTTTTTTCAACGGTTAGGGATGTCCGAGTCTTTCTTTTCTTAGTCCAGTCAAAGGAAAATCATCCACGCCGTGACTAGGATATTCATGAAGAAAAAATCTCTCATAACTTGACCCAAGAAGTTGCCAAGATATCCGCGGACATAGTTGAAATGCATGATCAAGGGGGCTTTGATTTGAAACCAAAAATGGTTTCAATTTAGTGGAACTCATTTCATTTCACTTCAATCATCTTTCCTCATTTAGAACCCATTATATATTATTAGGTCCCTTTGTAAAACGTAGTGACACAATATAAAAATTGAAAAAAAAATGTACTGGAGCTGGTATATATATATATATATATATATATATATATATATTTGGAGGGGGAGAGGAAAGTGGGTTTAAACCCTTGACTTTAAGAAGATAAAACTTTTACAAGGTAAATAATATTATTGGACCAAAGACCCATTGGTATGGAGCAGATATAAACTCTATCAGAGCCATTCAATAGTAACATCCAATGATAATTCGAATAGGTCAATAAATTAAATCAAAAGATTAAGTCGACTCATACAAACAAAAACCAACAATATCCTAGCTTGTTATTGAGGTTTGCGACTGTTCTAAATGTTAGGGATTAAATTAGTATACTCTATAGCTGCTGGCTTGTTTTGTTAGACAGCTTCGTATAAGAATTCAAAACACTACCTCTGTTGGAAGTTCAAAACCTTAATGCAAAAAGCATACATCAGGGCAAAGAAGACAGTGAAGCCAACCAAAACTCCAGCAACTGGACCCATGAAATCAAGGTCATATCCAAAATGGTTTTGTACATACCATTTGATGCTAGGGTCTGGCTCGATTCCAGGTGCCTTGATTGTGTCTTCCAGGTCGCCATACTGTGACACGATTAGTCCATACACGGTCCATGCCACGGGGCAAATCCAATAGTACCAAGTCCACCACTTGGGAATTCTCTGAAATGCCGAAAGACATGAAAATTTGTTAGCATGTTGTGCTTAATTAACCATGAAATATAGACTGTCTGTGTTTGGAATGGGCTTACTATTCTGGGGATGAAAAAACCGGAGAAAAGGGTGAAGAATGCAAAAAATGCAGAAGCAAAGATGGCCGCCACTTCATGATTTGGTGTGATAGAGACCGTCATCATTCCATAGTATGTGAAGTAGAGGAAAGAAAAGAATGAAATGAAGAAGAACCAGAGAAACTTCACCAGCGTCCATTGAAAGCTCACCATCGCATACACTATAAGTGAATAGTATGTAGTTTGAACAAATACATAGGGAATTTCAGCAACCACCTGCATTTGAAAGGGAAAAATTTGTAGTTTAGATAGTCTTAAATTCAAAACTTTTAACACTTTCATCGTGCCAAAGCTTGTTATGGAAGCCACTATTTCCTCACCTGTGCCATGGCGTAGGGTAAGGCAGAGTACATCCCGGCAGCTCTTTCCCGATAAAACACTGTTCTTTCAACTGCTACAATTGGCTGTACAGTTGAGCAGTTATTAATTCCAGTGAACAACACAGCGACATACATGGCACCAATGATCATGGTCAAATCAGCGGTATTTTCCCTGAAATTGGAAAAGTCCAAACAACCAAGCAAGCCAAATTAGTGTTGCATATGCTGGGACATGCATTACAAATGAATGTACCTAAGAAATATTTCAAACTTCTGGTTCAAAGAGATTAGAAACCAACCTTTTGGTGCCAACCTGCCAGAAGATTGTGCCAAGCACAAGAGCAGCAGCTAAAGTGAAAAAGAATCGAACAAGGTTATAATCTGGACTTCTCCAATAAGTCCACCACTGCTTCCAAAGGCAGGATTTGAACTGCTCCCATGTAGATTGAGAGTACTGTGTCGGATAGTAGAGGTCGTCTGCTCCTTCTGGTGGTGTACTGAGCTCCTCTACTAGATCCTTATTTTTTCTGGTTCAGGACCTCTGATATGTTAGTTCAATAAAGACAAATATTACAACCTTATAAGCTGCTATACTTTTGTTATATTAGCCACTTACTGATTCAAGGGTGATGAGTTGTAGTGTTCAGCAAAATCCATTCCAAGTCGGACCTCCATTGCATCTGAGCTTGTTTCTAGCATCCATGCTGCTGGATTGTAATTTTCTCTAATTTTAGGGACACCAGGAATAGCCTGCATAAAACGATTTGGAAACAGATTGGTTTTGTACATTCATTTAACCATTTTGAACAGAAAAGGATANCATAAAACGATTTGGAAACAGATTGGTTTTGTACATTCATTTAACCATTTTGAACACAAAAAGAAAANCATTCCAAGTCGGACCTCCATTGCATCTGAGCTTGTTTCTAGCATCCATGCTGCTGGATTGTAATTTTCTCTAATTTTAGGGACACCAGGAATAGCCTGCATAAAACGATTTGGAAACAGATTGGTTTTGTACATTCATTTAACCATTTTGAACAGAAAAGGATATGTAGAGAAGATGAGAATCACCTCAAAATACTCGATAACTTTCTGAGAGTTCTGCCCCATTGGTCCTGAGTAGATCACTTGTCCTCCTCTCTTCATCAGTAGCAACTGGTGCGCAATAATATCAGTATGTATGTGTGTGTTAGAGGGAGGGAGAGAGGAGAAAGAGAGAGAGAGATGATACCTCATCGAAGGATTCAAAGATATCAATACTAGGCTGATGAATTGTGCAGACAACAGTTCTTCCCGTGTCCACAGTGTTTCTCACAGTCCTCATAACAATGGCTGCTGCCCTCGCATCAAGCCCTGAAGTTGGTTCATCCATAAATATGATTGAAGGATTAGCAACCAGTTCTACTGCTATTGTCAACCTCTTCCTTTGTTCCGTTGACAAGCCCGTGATCCCTGGGAGCCCAACTATGGCATTTTTTAGGGAATTGAGCTCAACTAGCTCCATCACTTCTTTAACAAAAGTCTAAACAAAAAATGCTAAAATAAGTTCCTTGAAGATATTAAATTTCAGAGCAATGCTACGTGCACCAAAACTTGCACCAAATCACTTGCAACCATTGAATTGATGAGTCCCATCATTGANAAACAAAAAATGCTAAAATAAGTTCCTTGAAGATATTAAATTTCAGAGCAATGCTATGTGCACCAAAACTTGCACCAAATCACTTGCAACCATTGAATTGATGAGTCCCATCATTAATCCAACGACTACTGTTGATTTGGTGCACATAGAATAGTTCTAAATTTCACCCTCAAATTGAACATTGAACAAGCTGCAAACTTTTGAGACCTCTTACCATTTTATTTTTGTCATCGACTTCTCTAGGGAGCCTGAGGAAAGCTGAGTAGATAAGGGATTCTTTAACAGTAACTTGGGGAGAGTGGATATCATTCTGCTCACAGTAGCCAGAAATTCTTGCAAAGCTTACTTGTTTCTTTGGGAATCCAGATATTCTTATATCGCCTTCTATGTAACCTCCTGTTTTCCTTCCTGCTAGAACATCCATCAACGTCGTCTTTCCAGCCCCACTTACTCCCATTAATGCAGTTAGGACACCTGGCCTGAAAGTCCCAGTTACACCTCGAAGCAATTGTAACCTGTCCTCTGTTACACCTTGTTTCTTCATTTCCTGTAAAAACCCACAGATTCATGTGTTCAGGTAATTGAGTGGGTTATTCAAACTGAAAATTCAGATATCTGTTATGCACAAGTGCCATTGATAGGCTATAGGTGACAAAAGTGGAACATTTAGATGTCGAATTAGATTGGAGGATGAGAAAGATTCTTACTGAGGGCATGTCGACATAATAATTCACGCTATCAAATGACATGGATAGTGGCATAAAGGGTAGTATCATTCCTTTCTTCGGTGCAACCCCATCTGCAGATTCACTGCTAGCTTGATTGGCATCCAAATGGTTACCTTGTCGTAGAGTTATCATTTCTCCTGAAAAATCCCAAGTTCATGTCAAATAATAAGCACTGATTTCTTGTCCATATTCTTTAAACATCATCAGAGTTTAAGTTGGGAGAAATTGTTGAACTTCTTACTTGACTTATTTCCATTAGAGAGGACATGCCTATTCGACCTTGTATTCAGTTCTCGTCTTTCCATCACCTCTTCTTGATTGGAAGCCACCTTTTTTACAACTTCTTCAGATATGATTGCTTGCGGCTTTCCTAGGGCTATTATATGGAAATGGATCTATCAAATTATTAACCTAACTAAGAGATTGAATATTTAAAATTCAGCTTGGAACAAAAGGCATAATGGGCATAGACAATTCTTGAACTTACGATTTAGGTACATAAGTGAGACAGTGAACAATACGTTGAAGAGAATGATGAACCCAATAAGGGCCACAGCTCCAATCCAATACCAATTTTTCTCAGGGAAGACATCGAAGTTCTCCAATACTGCCACACCCAACTGAGTAACATTATCTGATGCCTGCAGTTAATTCCAATTCACTTGTATGAAACATGTACATTTATCATGCATCTTCAAAATGATTTGTCAATGATTTATAATAATCATACAATTTGTGAAAAATTGTATCTCTTTTTCTTTTTTCTCCCCCTGCTCCCCCCTTCCTTTTTCTGTTTCGCCTATTTGATTATATTGTATTTCAATCAAATGGAAAAGTGGTAACTGCATAAACTACATACCAATCTGTTCATCCATCTCGAAGAAAGCATCTCGTTCACTGACATGGCATTGAAGCCATAGAATAAAGGTGAAATCCAGTGAGCCCACTGCCACCATTTTGGGATTTGACCTGTTACAATGCAATTAATTTTTGGTTACTTGATCAAGCAACAAGATGTACCACTCTTCTGAGTATGAACATGGCAAGCACCAACAATAAAGGGCACTTTTCTCTCCCAATCATTTTCTTGTGATCTTGGCATTGAGAAGTAGCAGATAAATGATTATATTCCAACAAGAGAGTATAGGGTATTAGGGATGCCATCATGAAAAAATGAAAGTGGCATAATTTAATGCTTGAAGCATTGCAGTTTAGAAAGTCGTATTGTATTCATTAATGTATCAATACCAAGTACCGCCAACCAACCTTTTGGAATGATGAAACCTCCTAACAGGAACACAATAAGCAAACAGAGTGCTCCTCCTGTATGAGCAATTATCATGGTCCGGCATACTCCAGCAATGAGCCTAAACAACCCAGCAGCCATTTGTTGGATTAGGCATACTAACAGCAGCTGCTTGAAAAACCTGGAAGAAAAAGGATGGGTAGAAAGCATGACTTACTGAAAGTTACATCAAGAACAGGCAGAAAATGCACAGCAACAAACACTTCAAACAATGAGAGGTATTAGAGATCATTATACGGTCTTGATCTAGTTGAGCATACCTGCTAGCTGCTGGTGCAAACCCTATGGTGAAATAGGTCACAATTGTCCAAATTGTGGCCTCTAAAACTGATATGGGGATTCTGAGCAAAAAATTTGGGATGGTGAAAGACCATGCTGGCTGGAATAGAAGATCCCTGTGCTTATAAAAAACTGGGAGCCTTGTGATGGTAAGAGAAAGCTCAGCCAAACCATTGAACATGTTTATGATCATTGAAAATATAATTGCACCAATGAAGAGTGCACCATCACCGTATGTGATGTCTAGTGTTGTCCTCAAGAACATTGTGGATGTTATGACAGCCACGATAAAGATCTGAATGGTCTTGAAAATATAAACAAAGGAATTTCTCTTGATCAAGAGCCATTCTTTACTGAATGAGGCTTTCAGAAGCTCCATTTTTGGGATTCCGTATTTTTTAAATACTAGAGCTGCTTTGTGGCTTTTTGACTTGTCAAAAGGGACCATGATTTCATTCTCAAGCTGCAGGCCAACATGGAAAGCCTTGAATCGGCTAGCAAAATCAGTAACTGATATGTAGTGGTAGGGCTTGCTCCTATTTGCCCAGTAGTTCTCTTGATCCTTCTTTGATGTAACCTGTAACCATCCACTTACAAAGCATGATTTAGTTTCTCTGATTTGGCAACATAATGCCCTCTCATAAGATAATAGGATGATATTTTCAATTTATTCCTATAAAACATCAAAATTATTCAACTAGTACCCCAAGTAGACAGCATCTGGTCACCTTGGGCTATGACTATGCTAGCTGCATTCTCTAGGATCAAGTGATTGATTTCGTCACTTAAATAAGATATCACATAATATCCTAACCAGGCTAAGGGTCTTATCAATTTTATTGAAAGGGAAAGATAGATGGGGGATATTTTTCTCAATAATCAGAGAGAAAAGTGAGTTATTCTGTTGATATTGGTTCAAATACATGCCAAACTATTAATTATAATATCATGAAGTAGATTTTTTACCTCTTGCAAAAAATCAGCAATACCCTTTCTCTGAGGACACTGGAATCCACAGCTCTCGAAGAACTGAAGTACATGCTCTCGTGGACCCTGGTACACTATCTGGCCTTCTGATAGGAGGATGATATCATCAAACAGATTGAACGTCTCTGGCGCTGGCTGGAGGAGGGACATCAGGATGGTTGACTTTGAGAGGTGAGCAATCTGCTGCATACACTTCACTATCTGATATGTTGTCGAGCTATCTAGACCTGTTGATATCTCATNAAACAGATTGAACGTCTCTGGCGCTGGCTGGAGGAGGGACATCAGGATGGTTGACTCTGAGAGGTGAGCAATCTGCTGCATGCACTTCACTATCTGATATGTTGTCGAGCTATCTAGACCTGTTGATATCTCGTCCATGAACAGAGTCTTCGATGGTCCTACAATCATTTCCCCTGTATCAACCAAATAATTGGTAAGCAATCAGATATGAACCATAACATTCATTTGGTACGTTATAGTGCTCTCAAAAGTTGATCTATCTGCAAAGCTAAACATATAATTTATATCAGAAAGCAGGCCAGGACTCCTTTTTCAGTTAAGGGATGCGGCAAAGGAGTAGAATATGATAGGTTTTACTAACACTTGACCTAGTTAATAGGATAAATTTCCATCTTGACCAGCCATTAGAATGAATTATCAAATGCTTCAAGTGGTCTGATAATATTTTTGGAAGGTTCACAAACAGTCAGTCTGCATGGTTAGACTAGTTTTGGATCCATAATGCTATCATTCACTTTTTGGGCTCGAGAACATGAATTTTCATAAGGAGTGAGAATGGAAACTAACCTGTGGTTACTCGCTTTTTCTGTCCACCAGAAATTCCGCGTTGCATTTGATCTCCCACAATCGTATCCTTACAAATATCGAGTCCCAATAGCTTCATATCCAACAAAATTATTTAGTGATTGCTTGGTGCAATGTCATAATCAACACTTTTTAACCATGCATTATATCAATAGAAAAATCCAGTTCTTAATGTTCTATTTTTGTGGTAATATTATCAGCAGAATGTCATCACATAATAACTGCTTTAGTCTACCCAGTTTGGTGTTTACAAAATAACTATTGAAGAAACACTATGGTAAAGTTTTTGAAGTCTAAAATAATATTACATGGAACAATGTTTTTTGCAAGATAGTAAATGATATCTCAACCACAGCATTTACATATATCCCTTTCTTACCCTGAGAATATAGTCAGTAATGAGGCTGCTCTCAGCTCCTTCCATTGCTGTAGCCTGTACAAAACAGATACAAGCTTGAAAAATAAAATCAGANTTTCTTACCCTGAGAATATAGTCAGTAATGAGGCTGCTCTCAGCTCCTTCCATTGCTGTAGCCTGTACAAAACAGATACAAGCTTGAAAAATAAAAATAATATGTGTGTATTATTTATATGTATTATTTCGATATGCTGTGCTTACGCATACCTTCATGAAAAGGTCAACTTCTGCCTCAGGGATTATTCCATCAGCTTTCTCCATTTCAGCAAGTTCCTTTAGGAGTTCTGAAGCAAAAATGTTTGTTAGTTCTTTGTGAAACATTGCATATTGGGACAGAGAACTCAAGTTGATTTGACTTAGTTACCATATCGAGCCCCAACCCCTTGGAACCTTGCAGAGAAGTCTAGGGTTTCTTTGACAGTCAAGACCCCTATATGAACATCCTTTTGGCTAATATATGCTGCTGTCTTCCGTGGTACAAATTCATTTAGCTTATGTCCGTTGTAAGTAATTTCTCCTTTTACCTGATCCATCCAGATATTATGTTATTACTGTAAATATGAACCAAAATGATTGTTGGGACATTTGACTGCAAATATTATTCAATGTGGCATGCACTATTTGGCAGAAAGCATTTTAACAAAATTGTTTGACTGCTCAAATTGATTTGGTAGACCTAGATTACTGACCCTTAACATCGGGTCCAACATTCCAGCCAATGCCAACATAAGTGTTGTCTTCCCAGATGAGGGAGGGCCTAACAAAAGGGTCATCCTGTGGCAAGATACAAAAAGATTTCATTACATTTATTGAATTAGCTCAAGCAGAATACTATTTCTTAAGATTTCATTGAAACTCAATGAGGAAAGAAAGGCTTCAAAGAGAAATAAAATACATCGCACAACTTGCTTGGAGATCACTATTACTGTAAATGTTGCACAAGGTGCGATTACTGGTTCAGTGCTTAAAATTCGGCTAAGCACTGAATAATACTCATCATTGTAAGCACTGCCCAATGTCTCGGAACAGTTCACAGAGTGCTAATACTCATCATTGTAAGCTGTTTTCCTAACAATTGCTTCCAAAATATACGACTACAGAGTCTACAAATATTTTACCTTGATGGCTTTATTATACCAGACACATCTCTGAGGATTGTAAGTCTTTTTTTCTTAGCCAATTGGATCCCGAGCAAACCAAGTGCCGATTCTATTATGTTCTGTGTGGTATTAAGAAGTGTTGGAAGAGCCCTGGTACCAACATAGCAATCTGCTCCAACCTGTAAATGCTCAAATTTAACCTCTATGGTAGGAAGTTGAATTCCAACCCTGCAATGAAGAAAGTTATAGTACTAGCTGTGATCAGAATACTTATGATGATGCTGATGTAACAGAAACCCCCCCCCCCCCAAAAAAAAAAAAGGATTGTTACTGCTTATGGCTCCTGTACATGAATAGACTTGGTGTCTAATTGATTAACTGGTCACCAATTGCTGTATTAACAGATTAGGAAAGTTGGGATAAATGAGAATTACTTAATTTCTTTTATACTACAGTTTGCCATCAAGAAGAGAAAATGTGTAACCCTTAATCCTGCCTTAGTTTTTTTTTTTTTTTGTGTGTCATTATTTTCATTTGTCTTTCAAATATTTGTCGAAAAAAACCGGTTTCTGCAACTTAAATCAGTCTCTGTGGTTTGCTGGCCAAATCAAATTGGGCAGTAGGATAACATGTTTAACATGAACTAAAAACTCAATAAAATCTGTTATCTCCAAAATTCAGCTAATGCAAGCAGAAGTGGAACTGATATAGTGGTTAGACATTGAAAAATATGAAAATCTAACAACATCAAGATTAGTAATTCAGTTAAAAAAAAAAACTTCTTGTGCAATAATGAACAGATTGGAATTCCACAATTAAAATTAACGACATATCTCGAATCTTTTCAATAAAAATAATTAAAATACTTAAACAAGGAAAACAAAAAGAAAGGGGAACATTAATTAATATACCATCAACTCAAAGTAACTAACAAGAAAAGTTGACATGAGAAAACCAAACCTTCTTAAGTCTTAGAATTACATGTTTAATACTGCCATTAAAACCTAATCCAATGAACTCCATCTAAAAGACTCATTGGTAATCAAAGATCAGTAAACTAGATAGCATTACTCTCTACATATTTCTAGGAAGTTTATTGTTAATTAACAAAAAAAAAAACTTACTTATCAATCCGTTCTCTAAACTTCTTTAAGAACTTCTCATTATCTTCCTCAGCAACCCTGAAATTCCTCTCAATGAACTGTTGGCGGTCACTCGCATCAAGCTTCCGAACATCTACCTCCTTGTGCACTGTTTTTCCCTCTTGAGATACTACAGTACATTGCAATATACTGGTTCTCAACCTATCGTAGGTCGGCAGTTTCTGCAAAGCAGCCCATATCAGTACCTCTTCGTCATCCTTCCTCGACCCCGACCAACTCTCGAACACGTCTTCTGCTCCCAAATTCCCACTCATTGTTCCTACTACGCACTCTTTCTCTACAATTTCAACTAACTATTTGTCGTTTTCTGTGAATCAACACTCTACCTAGGTCTCTCCCTCTCAACGTCTGTACAATTTTTGAGAAATCGTTGTTTGATCTGAATGAAAGAGAAGTAGTAGTAGTAGTAGTAGTAGTAGTAGTATCCTGGTAGGATTCTGTGAGGAGTGAGACTGCGGTTTATGGGGGAGAGCCATGCGGAACATGCAAAGGCGGTGACACGTACAAAAATTATTCTTTTGAGCAATTATCGGCGGGCCGGTAAAAAATTTGTTCAATTTCTTTTTGTTGTGACAAACATTAAGATAAACAATCTTTGTGGTAAGTACTTATCAATGTAGTAAAGATGATGAAAATATGTACAAAAGCGGTTGATCACAATCACATTCATGTAAAAGTCTTGTAAAAAGGTTGTTGCAATAACTCAATTACACAACCATTAGCGAGGAGGATGTGGAGTAGTAAATAAATGTAAGCTTTGAATTTTTATTGTACAACACAATTTAAAGTTGTGCAGCCCAGCCTAAAACGGATAGCATTGACTATGGCAACTAGCGTGGTGAGAGTAATCCCCGAAAGCCCACATCATTTGGGTCGAGTTAGGACCGAAATGAGGACGTTTGAGTTTAACGGGGGTAGGTTGTGATAATTCAATCCCACTAAAAGGGTAGAGGTAGATGTGGAATAGTATATAAGCGTGAATTTTAAACTTTCATTATACAACACATTTTAGAGTCATGCAGAACTAATTCAAAGCAAACAATATTGTACAATGTTGGTCTATGGTGTTATAGCCCTTAATGTCTCAGAAAATTGCATGGACCCCCTTAATGTTTCAGAAATTGCATTTGGATCTTCCAAGTTTTGCTTCCTACATACCATACTATATCTTTTCTTAATGTGACTTAGTCTCCCAATTTGGCTTGTCTTGCCCCTGCCCCAGCTATCAACTCTAACCACTTTTGGTTAGCTTACTATTACTAGGGTTTGATCTTATTTTGAATAGAAAATATGCCTGCAATCAACACGCATGCTCTCATATGTAAGAAAATCTTTAACTGCATACCTAATTGAAGCTTGAAATTAACCTATCAACCCCCATGTAAAAACCTTCCTCTTTTTTTTTATTGTCACACTATTACAGGTAAAAGCACGTTAAAATTTAAATTAGCGATCTTAATGTCCAACGGCGGAGATGACCATTAGATTTCGTCATTCTATTGGGCCCATCTCCGGCCAGCGCAAGATTGTGGCCCAATCTTTGTTTTAATTCGGTAAATGGCCCGGACGTATGCTCTTAGCTCCGTAGCCTGCATTCTTGCATCTTGCACAACAAGAAAAATAAATTTTTACGGCGATAAAATATTGTCATAAAAAGTTTATTTGCTATCACAAATATTTTTTGTGGCGGCATTGTCTTGTCATAATAAGTGTAATTTCAAAAGGTTTTTACGACAGCAACGATCTGTCTCAAATAGTATTTATGATAGCAAGATCTTGTCGTAAATAAGGTGTCACCAAAAATTCGACACTTTTGTTTTTATCACGGCGGAAAAAGTGCTACCTCAAATACCATATTTGGTTATCGTAAAAAATAGAAGATATATTTATGACGACAGTGATGCCGCCACAAAAAAGAAAATAATAATTTTTTTTTAATTATTATGGACTGTTAGTAACTAATATTATATACCCTGTGCATATATACACTTCATATAATTTTATTTTATTTTGGTGGGAGAAGGGGGAAGGGAACTCTAACATTTGACCTCAAAAAGACAAAATTTTTATAATATAAGGAGTACTATTAGACCAAAGACTCGTTCATATCTATATAACTACCTAATTTAATATATAGATAAACACAAAAATAAATATAATCAATATTTCCAAAAACATAGCAATATTTTCATATAAAAAAAAACAATCCCAGGAATTAAACAAAATGTAAAATATGCACTTTTATAAAAACATAACGATCTATGAGTACAAGAAATTAATGCAAAAAGTTGAATATCCTTCCTGAACTATCTATTCCAATGTTTTAAAACCCGCCCCGGCGGCGGGTTGACTCGATGAACCGATCCCCTAACCGGGCCGGTTTTGTAATTGGATCGTTTGAGTAAAGAACCCGGAATAAAACCGGTGAACCGGTCAAAAAACCGGTAACCCGTAAAAATCAGNGGTTTTGTAATTGGATCGTTTGAGTAAAGAACCCGGAATAAAACCGGTGAACCGGTCAAAAAACCGGTAACTCGTAAAAATCAGACGGGTTTACAAAATCGGCCGGTTTTGTTCCTTTAGTATAAATATGTCTTTTTTTTACATTTTTGTGTCTTTTTCTTTTTCTTTTCCATTTTTGTATTTTTCTTTTCCATTTTTGTGTCTTTTATAAATATGTCTTTTGTTTTTTTTACATTTTTACATTTTTTTTACACTTATGAATATTTGCATTGGTTTGTTAATTGAATACAATTAAGTGATTCAGGCTTGATAATTTTGTTTGATTTAATATATATTAAACATGTTATTTTTATAACTATTTTAATTTTTTAGTCTATTTATCATCATTAATAATTATTTTTTATTTTTTTATTATATCACCGGTTCGACCAGTGACCCAATGGTTGAACCACAAACCCATTGACCCGGTCCCTTCTCCGGGTTGATGTCCGGGGCGGGTTTTAAAACTATGATCTACTCTCTCAGTGACATCTGAAAAAAATATAAAATTAATGTTACAATACTGAAATAATATTTATATACATATATACAATAAAGAACTAAAGAGAAGTTATAATATATATCAACGGAGGGCCACACAATATTTTTTTGAACGACTTGTCCAATTATGTAAATGGTATATAAACGAGTTATATCGTATACATTTTTTTTAATTGGTTTCACCAATATCTTGTTCGTTTATAATCGTATCGTGATGGGTCCACTCTTTTACTAAACAAATGACTTAAGAAAAACTCAAACCTACTAATTTTATGTCGTGTTAATGGGTCGTGTCATATTTTGGCACTCATACTTTGATATAAAAACTTGACTTTATAGAGTTCAATTTTTTTTCTTTAAACTATAAATTGCCTTTTGATGTTAAACTACGTAATTTTATAAAATATTACCTGTAACATAAAAAATAGTTGTGGTCAACACATTTTTTTTTTAGAGTTTTTCTTCTTTAAACTATAAAATATTTTTTAATCTAAAATAACATTTTAATGTTTTATGGAATATTATATACGACGGGAAAAGTATTGCCACAAATATAAAAAAATTATTTTGAATTTATAAAATATTATTTGAGACAGAAAAAATAACTGTCTCAAATAGAAAATCTTCTTTTGCGTTTATGACACTATTTATGGCAAAAAAAATAGCTGCCACAAATATTAATATAAACATGCTTTTTGGGACGGCAGACACAGTCGCTACAAAAAATTGTTTCAAATACATTTTTTGTGACGACAAATACAACCACCGTAAAAAATTTGTTACAAAAGACCTTTATTCTTGGGGTGTTGGGATTTATATTAGCCATAATTTTAAAAATTCTTCAAAGTAACAAAAGAAAGAGAAAAATATAGATATAAAGAATGGACACTAAGTGAGTTACAATACTAACCATTTGAACCCATATTTTATTTGTTGATTGTTTTTTTCTTTTCTATGTACATTTGACCATTGTCACTAAAAAAAATAGGCAGTATAATGCATTGAACTTATGGTACTGCAGACTCTACGAGACTTAGATATATGCAGACTTACCTTGAATCAGGGCCGGAGCAACCATATGAGGTACGATCCTAATTTTTTGAGAATTAATAGTAATTCAAGTTTTTCTTTTTCTAATTTTAAACAACTTAGTGGCTCATCGCCCCTTTGAAACCAATGTTTTATTTTGAATTGAGGACAAAATATGTAAAATTCCCTAAACCGAATATATATTGACTAAAAGTAATACATATTTTCTATCCTATACCTCTTATCTTTTAAAATCAAGTGTATAGTTATTCCTAATCTTTTTCCGTAAGTAACCCACAATGCAATAATAGATAATCAAAAGAAAAAAGTAAAATGTCTCGATTTTAAGAATTTTCTACTCTTTTTATAGGCAATATTAATAAGATGGAGAACGGTCTCGATTAGGCTTCACATTAAAAATAATAATACTTTTATCATGAAATTTGTTATTGTGTACACTAAAAAAAAAAATTACTGTGAAATTCAGCTGAAAATCAATCACTTATAGCCTATTTTTGAGATTTAAAATTTATTTGATGATCATATTTTAAACAAAAAATAATTTTTTAGTTTCATGTAATAATTTAGTCTCGATTCTAAATACACTTTGTCATACTTGAACTTGAAATTTTTTTATATCAATTAATAAATTTCTTTTAGTCATTTTTTGCCCTCTCTAAGAAAGGATATGCCCCAACCTTGAGAAACTATTTTCATTAGAGTAATGTTAAAAAACTTAAAAAATAGATTTAATAATTATAATAATTGAATAGATAGTAAATCTCAATAAATATTAGAATCTATAATAAAATTAATAATTATAATTATTAAATTTAATTTTTAAATCTACCTTTTAAATTCATACAACCATTGTCATGTTACCCTAATTTCGGTCCGCGTTGCATTACTCTTACTCGAGCAGTCGAGGAACCAGGCCATTGGTCTCACACGTGGCAAGATAAGATTGGGCAATTGAAAATATAGCATTCTATCATCGAAGATAATCCCACCTGCGTCGGAAAAGACCTCTGCCCTTTTCCAACAAAAAAACCTTGTGAAAATCCCAACCCCCTGTCTCTCGTCTCGTCTCTCTCTGGCTCTCTCTCTCCCACACACAGAGACTCTTAACACTTAGAGAGAGAAATGGATGAGCTTGAGTCAGCAGAAATGGAGGCTGGTCTTCCCGAGTTTACCTTGGCTGAGGTGAGTTCAATCCTCTCTCTTTTCTCGTAAGATTTTATCACTGCATTTATTTCTTATTACAGAGCTCTCTCGTCCAGAGCATCTTCAAAACAAAAATAACCTCTATGCTGTGATTGTGATGTTAATACACTTAATTGATTTATGCTTTGCATGCCTTGTGTCCCCCCTTCTCTCTCTCTCTCTCTCTCTCTCTCTGTGATTTTAACTTGTGAGGTTTCTCCGGTGCAATGCTTTTGGCTTTGATTTTTGTTATCAGGATATATTTGGGACGTTAATTCGTATTTTAGGAACTCAACAATTTCCCTTCCAGCTATATGTGATATAATTTTGGTTGCGACACTTAAGGAAATTGAGCTAAGATTTTACACTTGGTGTGTATGGGCTTAATTTATCTGAGGGGGTGGAGATGGGTTTTTTTTACTTTAGTTACTTCATGATGGAGTTTCCAGTGGCTAGTTAAGTTGGATCCCATCATGTAATGAAGGTGGTGGTTGCCATTTGATTGGCAAATTGAGGGTTTTCAGTAATTCGGTGATATGGCTTTGGGACTGAACAAGGTTGGCTTACTCCTACCCACCATTATGTGGTACAATGTGACTGATGATAGGCTACTCATTACAAATTGAATAAGAATGCAAGGAGTGGCATTGATTCAGCCACGAGCTAGGAAGTGATGTGACTCGTCTTCTTCAATGTCCACGTGGGTGTGGTACACTTAAAAAGGAAATGTAACCAGTGTCTTCCTTGCTTAAATATCCCTTATCCATTCTAATCTAGTTTTTCCGTTTATTTTGGCCTTGAACCGATCATTTTTGACTTATTGGATGGTTGGCAATGTGAGACTCATGGTGCAGTCTGTGTTTGGATTGTCAAAATTCAAATTCTAACAATGGTCTAGCATAACATTGCCCACTTTTATAGGTTGATAAGTCCCCTTTTCTTCAGTAGCTCATAAAGTCTGGTATAGCTTATTGTTTAGTTTTAGCCATCATGATTTGGGAGGCATTGGAATTCATGATGGAAATTTTTTGTAGTATTTAGGATTTCTTTTCAGTAAATAATACTTTGTTAAAGCACCATGAGGGCTCTACATCAATGGTCTGACAAGTGCCAACAACTCATAGTCAGGCATCACTATTCTTTAGTAATGTCGTGGTGAAACACCAAAGCTGTATAGAATGGACATTTTTTTTTTTTGGGGGGGGGCCGCAGTTTGTGTTCATCTTGTTGGACATGAACTTTCAATTACTTTGTTAGACACGAGCTTTAAATTGCTTTGTGTCTCCAGCATATAACCTCTTCAATTTGAGTTGTGCTGATGTTTTCTTTTCCTTGTACTTTGTCATAAATACGTCAATTGCTGTAGTTCCTATAATTTTTAGTTATATCCAAATGTGTTACAGAAACTGATATTTTTTTTTGCTTTCCCTAATAGATCATGGAGATGGAGATCTTATTTAAAGGAAAAGGAAAAGGAAAAGAATATCTGAATCAGGAATTCTGTCAAGACCTGGCAACCAGTTTTAGGTGAACTCCATTCTATCCGTATTTCCTAAAGTCTTGGATATGTAAAGCATATCTTTTTTGATTGGAAATAATTTTCCGGGGCTCGGCAAAGCATTGAATTTTTTTCTTCTTTGCTGCTCTTTTCTATGCAGTTGCTCACCTCATCGTACTGGAAAAAGTTCCATAAAATGGGAACAGGTTCTTTTTCTGTTCTCATCTGGAAAATTTTGTTTTATGCATTTGACCCCTTTTATAGCCTCTATTTGCACTTTTGAAGGTACAAAGTTGGTTCAGTGAGAAACAGAAAGCAGTAGCTGCTAGAGTAAATTCCTCACCTATTGCTATCAAAGATTTTTCTGCCCCTTATGCAGTTAAAAGATCTTCACCTGTTGCGCTCAAAGAACTTTTTGCTTCAAGCACAACACCACCAGAGAATACAATTGAAAGACCTCAAAAGCCCATAGGTGATTCTTTTTCATCAGCATGAATCTGAATTCTCATTAGTAAATGTTGAGTTGTGTATTCTGGTTACTATTTATGGCCTCCAATGCTTCTGTTGCAGTGTCAGACATCTGAAAAACATACTATGTTGTTTCATTGATAATGTAATCTTGAAAGTGCTGACCTCTTTGTAGTTGTCCGGGGCTTTCCTCTTTGTCAGATTCCTTGGGAAAGTTTATTGAGACCCTAGGCAGTACAATATTTGCCATCTATTCACAAGTATGCTTTATTTTGACTGGCAACCCATTAAGAAGGTGCTTATTGGGAAATTTGTTTTGATGGGCTCACACACTGTTGTAAAATACTTTTATCTACATTGAAGGTTGTATCTAATGATTATGCCATTTTTTAGTGACTCTTAGTCTTACAAAATTCTATGTTATGAGGCTGAGATACAATGTTTTAAATGCTGGTCACTCACATTTTTTCATATGGCTCTAAACTTGGAAAGTTACCTTGTTTTAATCTGTGCTTCCTTAAATTTGTAACCTTTTACTAATCCAACAGCAATTCTTCTTCAGGTGAAAGGGTTGCAGAGCTTTCAGAGTTGGTTTTTGAAGCTCTATCGTCAAAGGATGAAGCTTGGTGAGCAGTCAAGCTTATTCTTCAAAGAACTAAAAGAGTTGGTACTGAAATGTTATGCCTGCATCATTTGTTTTTGAAAAACGTCCAACATGTTTGCTTTACATTTGAAACATTTCACATTTTTTGAATAAATTTTAGATGAGCATATTCCCCTAACATCTCAGAGGAAATTTAGGCATAAAAGACTGGCATCATGTTCTTTATATTTTTCTTGTCTTTTCTTTAAAGCATTGAACAGTTTATTTGAATATTTGTTTAATTCGTTTGTTTGCATTGACAATCTCGAGCTGATTGATGGTAGTTCTATTGAATGTCCAAACTCCAGAGTTATTTGGTTGTTGATGATCTTTTTTGGGGGAAAACAAAGATGTACTGCAAGAGAGAAATCATCACAATCTGGGGCTGAGTTGCAGAAGTTACCTGGCCCAGTAATTGTTGAAGTGAAAAAGTTTAACCTTATTTTTGACCTTGTTGGAGATATAGCAATAGCCTAATTTATTAGGGCTTATTAAGTTTTCTCTTTTTACCTTTTTATCCATATTGTAACTTTCATTGGCTATATGTACAGGGTTCTACCCTTAGTTTGTATCCCTTTTTGACTCACATATTTCTTTAGTTGGTATCAGAGCCAAAACCATAGCCCCTACCTCTAACCCTAACCCTAGCCTCCTATACCTTGTTACCACAGCCCAACAACCACCTGTGCCGTCACCAGCAGCGACAGCAACCAGCAACAGCCGTTGCCCTGCAACCCCAGCCACACCCATACACCATCAGCCACCCAGCGAACTGCCCACTGCCCCAGCACCCATACCTAATCGAAACCGACAGCACCCAGCGTAACCATAATCCTTCCAGCAATAATAATAAAAAAAAAAAAAAAACAACTCACAACCGACAACCAGCAAGCCTGCACAGCACCAACAATCAGCCACCCAGCCCACTGCCCCGACAAATCCACAGCCTGCAACTCACAAAACTCACACATCAAACCAACCAGCCAAAGCCACCGACTGCCATCAGCTGCCAGCGAAACCACACCGACACCATTAAACCTTTAACTCCCAACAAACATATACCAACATATACCAAGCAGCCCACCTAACTCATAACCCATAACCCAGCCCACCTAAATTCACCGACCTAACACAAACATACCAAGCAGCCCACTGGCCAGTCCCAAGTCCACAGCCCACTGCCTAGTCCAACCCAAACCAAACCCAGACCAGCCCCAAACCAGCCCCCTCATCAACCCGCTATCGGGTTACGTTTATCTTTTCGTCACAGTGTCGCTATCTTTTAGCGCCACCTTTTTTTCTAGAGTTGCAATATCTAGGCTTTTTTGAGCAGGCATCAAATCCTCTTCTCTGTTGATCTGATTTTGATACAGTAAATCACTTATATATTTTTTGGATTTCTGGGCACCATGACTTGATTAGTTGGGAGCTTTTTGGACCCTCTTTATCTGTCGCTATTGTTCGACTTAAGGTATATTATTCTCCCTTATTTTATCCCTCTATTTATCTTAGAGTTATTTTTTTCCTGTCTCGGGTGCCCACGTATTATTGTTGTCATGGCTACTACTGAGGGACAAGAGACTCCTACCGTAAAGACCTCTACTGTTGAGGCTTCTATTAGTACTTCTACCTGGCCAGTATCATCTGCTTCTTCTACTTTTATGTTTGACCAGTATACAGTACCTACTGGCATAGTTGCTTTACCGGCAATGCCAGGACTAATCTCTCAGAAGGTTATAGCACAGTTGTTGAATGGTCGTAACTTTGCTGAGTGGTCACGTTCATTCTAGCTTTTCTTGGGCCGTGTAGGGAAGCTTGGTTGGCTAACGGGATCTCACCCAAAGCTAGCTGATGTCGACCCTGAATATTCTGCGTGGTTTTCTAAGAACTGCGCCATTCTTGGATGGTTATTTGGCTCGATGGAGCTATCTGTTTGTAGGATACATCAGTTTCTTAGCTATGTTTCGAAATTATGGAGCGTATTATCAGAGATATATTTCCAGTCAGGATGGGGAGTTCATGTTTATGAGCTTTCTCAGCAGCTCTCATATGCTTGGCAGGGAGATATGACTGTTCAGGATTATTATGGCTATTTGACCCAGCGCTGGCTTGAGTATGAGACTCTACGTCCTCTTGCTGCTATTCCGAGGATAGAGCCCCAGGGAGCAGCATTCTTGCATACTCGAGAGTAGGAGGATAGGATTCATAAGTTCCTTATGGGACTTCGTGATGAGTTTGAGGGACCTCGTTCCTAGATCTTATCGATGTTGACGCTTCCTTCTTTTTATGAGGTGTATGCGATGATTGAGCAGCATGAACGCCGCGTCCGTATTGCATCACTTCCAATTGCGGCCTTGACTCCTCTAGCTGATTATATGACCCCAGCAGCAACTGTAGGGTCTCGTTCAGGATCCTTAGTCAGGGGTGGGCAGGGCTCGGACTAGTGCCGTTAGGGTGCCCCAGATCAGCGTAGATAGGGGGATTCTCATCAGTGTGCTTATTGTGGCCAACCAGGACATCTCAGGGCTACTTGCTGGAAGCTCCATCCAGAGCTTAAGTCGCCTCCTCGTGGTCGTACTGTAGCTATTGCTGAGGTACCACTATTTACTACCGCTACTCCTTCTACTGCTCCTCCTTGGCAGAGTAATATGGATGCTATCACTTCCCGATTGAAAATACTTATGTCCGCTCTGACTTCTCAGAGTCCGACTACTACTGCAGCCACCATTATAGGTATACCTCGTGTCTTTCATGCTTGTGCCAGTCCATCTCCCATTTGGATGCTGGACTCGGGTGCGAATGGTTACATGACAGGTGAGGCCCATCACTTCACCACTTTTGACGAGTAGTTATATACCCAGGTTTAGTTAGCAGATGAGACACATGCTCCTATTGTTAGTAGGGGTACAGTCCGCCTCCCAGATGACTTTACATTACGTTCGGTTTTTCATGCGCCAAAATTGGCCATGAATCTATTATCTGTACATCAGTTAGCCAGAAATTTTCACTGTGCAGTTGTGTTCATATCTGATTCGTGTTATTTGCAGGACCTGAGTACCAGGAGGATTATTATCAGGGGACATGAGAGAGATGAACTGTATTTTCTAGGCGATCTGCCTCCAGTTTCACCAGTTCCTCCACCTACATCACCTGCACCTGCTTTATCTTTATCTGTTCCTAGCTTGCATGCTAGTATTTTACCTAGTAATTGTCGTTATGATTTTTCGTCACAAATTGTTTAGTTGTGGCATGACTGTTTTGGATATACAAATTTTAAATATTTATGTATGTTGTTTCCTGCTTTGAGTAATGCTTGAGTTAGTGGTAAACTTGACTGTGTTATATGTTCCCTATCAAAACATGTTAGGATCAGTTATATTCCTCGCATGTACTAATCACCCAAGCCATTTGACTTAATACACTTTGATATTTGGGGACCTTCTCCTGTTACTGCTTTATCAGGTGTCCGATACTTTGTGACATTTATAGATGACCATATCCGTTGTACTTGGATCTACCTTTTGCATAAGAAGTTCGATGTACTCCCTATAATCACTCAGTTTTTACAGATGATTAAGACACAATTCGATGTTATTGTTCGTGCTCTTCGTTCAGATAATGCCAAGGAATATGTGTCTGATGCCTTAGTGTCTTATCTTTCTTCTCAAGGTATCCTTTACCAACTCACTTATCCATATACTCCTGAACAAGATGGCGTTGCTGAAAGAAAAAATAGGAGTTTGATAGGGATGGTACGTTGTATGTTTAGAGGCATGGAGGTGTCAAAATCTTATTGACATTTTGCTGTTTTGACTTCTACCTTTCTGTGCAATCGTACGCCCAGTCGTGTTCTTCCGCATAGGGTTCCCTTACAGGTTTTATTTCCTGAGCGAACACTTTTTTCGGTCCCCCTCGTGTTTTTGGATGCACATGTTTTGTTCAGGATTGGTCTCCTACTTGTCATAAGCTTGATGATAAAGCAATTCGTTATGTCTTTGTGGGCTATTGCAATCAGTCTAAGGGGTATCGGTGTTATGATCCTGTTAAGCGCTGTATATATCACAGTCTAGATGTTACTTTTCTTGAACATATTCTTTATTTTTCTTTCAGTCTTGTGTCTGCCCCTCCAGTTGATGATACTTCCTTTGATTTTCCATTACCCCCGAAGCTAGAGCCATTGGTTACTATCACTACAGAGTCATCGGTCTCTCCTCCTCCAGAGCCACTCCTCCCTGGTATAGAGTCACCAGTCTCTCTTCCTTTGCAGGTTTATGTTTGTCGCTCTCGCTCTCATCCCCCTGCTGATGTCCCCTCTACCTCAGGCGATGCAAGTAATACTTCTCAGTTTGTTGAGTATATTGATGCACCTATTGTTAGTACTGATGAGATTGCAGGCATTGAGCCAGTTGTTTTACCTGATGAGACATTGTCAGTGGAGGATAATAATTTAGAGCGTCGTTATCCGCAACATGATCGTAGTCCAGTTGTTCGTTATGGTTGGACTGCCAAGATTTTATATCCGATTTTTGCTTGTGTTTCTTATAATGATCTGTCTCCTACATTTCGGGCTTATAGTATGGCCTTATCAGATACGCCGGTTCTTCGCTCTGTTTCAAAGGCTATGCAGGAGCCCCAGTGGGTTCTTGCCATGCAGACAGAGATGGACGCGCTTCAGCGTAATTATACGTGAGATTTTGTCTCTTTACCTTCAAGGGTGAAGCCTGTTGGCTGTCGCTGGGATTACACCCTGAAGTTTCTTGCGAATGTTACTATTGATCGTCACAAGTCTAGGCTTGTGGCGAAGGGCTTTACTCGGGTGCCAGGTCATGATTTTGGTGCTATCTTTGCCCCCGTGGTAAAATTGACTACTGTTCGACTGATTATTTCTCTGGCTGCGGAGTACTCTTGGCCTCTTCATCAGTTGAATGTGAAGAATGCATTTTTTTACGGTGATTTGGACGAGATTATTTATATGGATGCACCACCGGGCTTTCGTGGTGAGGGGGAGTATGCTGGAAAGG